TGTATATCACCTAAGATAGCATGCACAGTTCTAACAACATATAAGACACAACTAGAGATGGCACTTTCACTTTCTTTTTATTTTTGGAATAATAAGACATGTTGTAACCTTTCATATTGTTAAAAATTAACAATATCCATGTTGTCGATCACAAGTAAAATAAAACAAATATTATAACAACATTTGTTGTAGTCAATCTTTATTTCCTTTCTTTTTTCATTATTTTTCCCTCACTTTAAATTCCCTTTCTACTGTTATTTTTTCATATCTGTTTCTCTCACACCTTAATTAATCTTGTTCGTCTTTGTCTACTAGTTAATCTTACCACCATTAACTCCAAACGTTCTCTCATTCTTTCTTATAACACAAAAATAATATTAAGCATTGTTCCAGTTCAAATCTCGAACAACTTTTTATGTTTTCCAGTAGAAAAATGAATTAAAAACACAAGTTTTCTTTTCTTTTTGTGTTAAGTATTTCGTACAAATTTCATTCAACTTTGGAATAATTAATGAATTTTTCAAGAGTTTAAACGAAATGTGATATGTTCACGCATGATGTATATACTACGCAATCTGTCCAACTCTCAGGTTTCTCGTAACGTCAAGTAAAATAAACCTATACGATCGAGACATTCACAATGCATGTAAGAGTTTGTGCTGTCCTTTTCAAAATCAAAAGAGTGTCAAGAGAAATCGAATAGCTTCGAGATGCAAATAGTTATCAACTTTCTGTTTTCATCGCTCGGGAGTGGACATTAGACGACGTGAATCAATATCAAATTCAAAAGTTTGGAAGACAGTCCTATTTATTTTCTGCCAGAATCTTTAGAAAACTGTTTTTCAGATCACGAAAGGTTTATTCTGTTCCTATTGTCACTCATCTATCTTCTACCTCAAACTCTACCTCACAAAACTGTTCAGCATAGATTTGCAAGAAAGCACAGGCTTTTATTCATTCTGAATTTCATAGAAATTTTTGTTTTCTGCTGCAGGGAAGTCAAGATCAACAGAGATAAACTATCAAAAAAAGTAATTTTCGATTTCTCTTGCCCTTCAATGAGATGATCACTACTCATCTACAGTAGTTCACAACCGATTGAGCTCAAGCATCAGTACAGACATGGAAAACGTCACTCTACGAGAAGCAGTCATTAGAAAACGAAACTACCTTAATGCAAAAAAGGGGTTTCTTGAGGTTTTCAGAAAACCTATCCAGTTTTAAACATGACAATTGCTTTTGCTGTTGCAGCAATCCGACAGACAAATATGTTACATGTCTGTTCTGAAACTTGAGCTCAATCGATTATGAACTACTGTAGATGAGTAGTGATCATCTCATTGAAAGACAAGAGGAACTGAAAATTCCTTTTTTTTTGATAATATATCTCTGTCGACCTCAAACTTACCTGTACCAGAAAAAAAAACCTTTTATGACATTCAGAATGGATAAAAACCTGTGTTTTCTTGCACAACTACACTGAGCTGAGTAAAGAAACCGTGATTTCAACAAACTCCAGCGCTTGAGATCCACCACTTGAAGGAAAAAACGAAAAACGTCTTCAATTCGCATGGCTTTGCGAGGCAGAGTTTGAGGTAGAAGATACATGAATGATATTAGAAAGAGAATAAACCTTTCGCGATCTGAAAAACAGTTTTCTAAAGATTCTGCCAGAAAATAAATAGGACTGTCTTCCAAACTTTTGAATTTGGCATTGATTGACGTCGCCTGATGCCGAATTCCGAGTGATGAGAGCCACAGGTCGTCAGCTATTTGCATCCCGGAGCTATTCAACTTCTATCGGCATGCTTTTGATTTTGAAAATCAGAACAATTGCATTTAAATAGTAACCGTCTGCCTTTGTTGTTCACGGTCAGATTTGAGAGCAATGCGAAAAAACGAAAATGTATTCGAGCGTTAATACTCATTATATAAATGTATGTAGCTTACTTCCACGAGTCCCTCAATTTCCTACGTGTTATAAAAAATCAACATGAATAAGCAAAAACCAAGAGTTGAAACTATAAAGACGCCATTTCATCTATTAAGTTTTACTGTATATTTTATAAGTGTCTAATCTGATTTTGTTTCATTTTGAAATTATGAATGAAAATAAAAACGAAGGGTTAAAAATAAAAAGATAATCTCTATCTTTAAAAATATTTGTAGGCAATAGTAAGACGTTCGTTATGTTATCGGTAATTTATTTTTATTAAAAGTCTATGACTAACATTTTTGCCGCACACACATACGAATGGATGGAAATATATCGAAAAAAAAATATCGAAATTTATGACGAAAAAAAGTGGTCGGACCTACAATCTTTTGAACATTCTGCATTTCGTTAGTCCATGATTGTACCAATGTCCAGCTCTCTGAGTACAATATCTATATATATATAGTAGAATGAATTATATCCTGCTATTACTAACTTTCTTCGTATTGACATCTCTACATTATCGCTTCTTTGATTTGTTTCTAAATTAAAGCTCATTACCAACAACCGAATCAATTATATGAAATTATTTAATTAAAGAACGATTATAATATATTTTATTTTATATTTTTTGATGTTGACCAGGGTAACATTAGAATATTTATTTTTATTTCATGTATATTGATAAATAACATAACTTCCTCTTCGAACATGATGTCTTTTATTATATCACAAAAAGGACAGCCAATGCTTGCTACTGGCAATTACGTATTTAAGTTGATTAAAACGACCACTAAAACAAAATACTATCGATATGGGCATCGTCAATGCGATGCCCTGGTACGTATCAATATAAGCGATGTTTTTTTTAACTAAAGGTGATCATTGTCATGTTATTGAAACAGAAAAAAATGATTGACTATTTTCATACGTTACTTGGTCATTTCATTAATTTTTTTTTTTTTTTTTTTATTAAGCTCTTGCATGTCACACTCGGAAGTGCTTACATGTTAAGGATATATATGGATGAACTTTAAGCTGAGTCTAGTACTCTGAAGCAAGGGGTTACAACTGCTTTGCTGATGTTAATACACTGTTTTTTACATCACACTTGTAAGGATGTGAAAGGTAAAATAAGCGACTATAATAATAATAATAATGATAAAAAGAAGGAGAGCAGAAACAGAGCAACATATTTGATAAGCAGCAGTTCAAACGCATAAGTAGAACAAGAACAAACAAACAAGGGAGAAAGAGCGAAAAATGTGCGAGAACAATTAAAGAAAGAAACGAAAGAATCAAAAAAGGAAAAAAAGAAAAAGAAAAGAGAGAAAAAGAAGAAGAGAGGTAGGATTAATATATAGCATCACTTCATTTGCTGCTATTATGTATCACTACTCGTCCATAAAAGACAGCCACTTCAAGAGACACGATTCGTGTCGATCAATCAATTGTCTGACACGGCGTGAACAAAAAAGGTGTCCAAGGTGATCATTTTTCCTTTTGTGAAAATTGTCCCATAAAAAAATGTCTTCATAAAAAAGTGAAGAGCCTAAGTCCGTCGAAATCATTGTATTTAATCTTCTTTGGATATAATTTTTAACATAAAAATCTAGAGGAAATTCTGATGTAAAACTGAACAAATTTTGAGCAGAAATAAAAGGACAGCGGTGCACTAGTCGTAGACCCACACGGAACTTTTGTTGTAACTTACTCTTAAGCGATTCCGGAAGAATCGGATAAAAGGGGAATAGCCATGCGAAATGAGGAAAGGTGAAAGTAAAGAAACATTGACGAAGTGCTTTAGTCGAAATAGTTCGTCCTGCTTTTAGCCATTTAAGTTTTCCAAGTGATCTCTGAATGTTTTCTATGCATTTATCTACTGAAGGCTGAAGTGATAGCTTATCCGTCCACGTAAAACCAAGATATTTAAATTCTTTAACTATTTTTAATCTTGTTTCCTCCATGACTATGTTTACAACGGGTCTTTTTATTTGTGAATGAAATACTTGTACTACAGTTTTCGAAATATTAATCGGTTGTCTCCAAATTTTTGAATATTTAAAAACTTGATTACAAATTCGCGTACCTTCTTTTTCTAAATAATCTACCATCGGTGCTAAATTTTTCATTATGGGAGGGCTAATTAACACACAAAGATCGTCTGCGAAGATATGACTTGAATGAGCTCCTAAATAGTTTGTAAGATCCGAATGAAAAACAATGAATAGATAGGGACTTAAACTGCTACCTTGTGGAAGACCTATGCTTATATCGAACAAATTCGAACTTTTTTCACCATACTCTACGTACGCTTTCCTATTTCTTAACCAACTTTCAATCATTTTTAGAAGATTGAGGGGCATACCCATTCTATCCAGTTTGTATAGGAGGGCAGCGTGCCAAACACGATCATACGCCTTTTGATAGTCAACATATATAGCCAGCGTTGGAATATTAGCAGTCATGTTATTTTTCACTTCCTGGTATATCGAGAGTACTCGAGTTGGAAGGAGACATTTTGGACGGAATCCTGATTGCTCAAGAGGTATTAAACGATTAGTTTCCGCCCAGAGTCTGACTCTCAGTAAGAGCACTTTTTCGAATATTTTCGAATGTGTTGCTAACAACGATATTGGTCGAGTTTGCTCACACTTTGGAATACCTGTTTTCAGTTTGTTCAGAGTTATAATCTTTGCTATTTTCCAATCTTCTGGATATCGGCATTCATCAAGCCACTTATTGAAACATTTTGCTAAGCACTCAATATAACTGGGAGGAAGTTTTTTAATTATAAAGTTCGACACCAAATCGAATCCTGCCGACTTTTTAGGCTTTAAAGTTCTTATTATTTGTGTGATTTCGAAGACACTAGTTTTTTCTATTTGATTTTTTGAATTTCTCAATTTACTCAACAATTCTTTACATTCGTTATCTATCTTAATATCATGCGCATTTGAATAATCTAACAATGGTTCTTTGAACTGTTCATTATAGTATTGGTATAATTCATCTGTGATTTGTTGTTGCGTNCAAGGGTAAATTTAAATTTTCATTTAAAAAAATGTTCACTGGAGGCGAAATGTCTCAATCAACATTTACGGGTCCTGGTGAAGTTTTGCTTGCACCATCTATTTGGTAAGAATTAAATTTTTGCATTTTCATATAATAATAAATTATTATATTTCGTTCGATTGAAAATGATTTATATTTTAAAAGCATAATAGTACACCAATCTTTTTCGGTTCTAGGGGTGATATAGTGCCTATTCAATTGGATGGTAGCATTGAATGGAATGTTGGTAAAGGTGGCTTTTTAGCAATGACTGATGGTGTAGTAAAAGAAACAAAATCTCAAGGATTAGGCAAAGGATTGTTTTCAGGCGAAGGTTTCTTCACCAATCGAGTATCTGGTGTAGGTGTTCTTTTTGTCACATCACTTGGTGCGATAGTACAACGAAATTTGAAACAAGGAGAACAATGGATTGTTGATAACGGACATTTAGTAGCATGGACTTGTCCATATACAATTGAAAGATCAGGTGGTGGTTTTATAAGTGGAAGACATGCCGATGAAGGACTTGTTTGTCGATTTACAGGTCCAGGAACCATATTAATTCAAGTAAGTTATTTTTTTATCATTGGTTGAGACATAAAGAAGATAATATTTTCGATATATTTGATAGAGTCGAAACCCTGAAGCCTTGTCGGCATGGATTGTAGGCAATAGACCATCAGGTTAATTATTATAATCATTAATAGATTTGGTCGAAGTTACTTGTTTTGTTTTTTTCATGTATCATGTACTTATTTGATGTAATTTATGTGAAAAATAAAATGTCAACTATTATTAGATACATGGATCTCTGCAATTTTAAATAACAGTAATTAAACAATAATGATATAAAGGCTTCAAAAATAACTCTAGTCATGACAATGTTCTTAAAAGTAATTGTAGAGTTATTACGTCATAATTATTCTCATTTTTGATTTTAATAATGTCATTATCGCTATAAAATATAAAATGTCTCATGTCTGATTGACTTCATCATCAATATAACAATTAGTCTTTTTTGATGGCACATGCAGAGATCTTTATCTTGTATTGTTATCAAGAAAAAATTTGAAAATCTTTTATTAAGTCACGTATATACTGCTGTGTAAATATTTCTTTTAATGAGTATTCCATCATCAGTTTACTTACATACTAACTGAGTTATTTCAAATTAAAAATTCTGTATTGTACTGCGTTTCAAAATTGTCTGTACAGTTCTGCTTAGATTAGTAAGAAAATATCTATTTTAACATTGAATATATGATCATTAATTAGTTCAAATACTAACAATTAAAACGAAAGAAAGAAAATTGTACAAATAATAGAACTAAAACTAAAGCAACATTCAGACACTCAGCATGTTGTTATTTCTTTATTTAATCTTTCATTATCGAACATTTTTTTTTACATCCAGTTTTGTGACAACCTAATTGGTCTATAATGTCAACTTGTTAATCACGAACTCAAACGCTTGTCAGAGATTAATTCTTTCTTATTTTAAAATCGTATAATTCATTTATCCAGTTCTAAAGAGAATATATGCATAAAAAAAAAATTTTAGCGTGTCAACAACATTGAATTAACTAGGTTTTTATATTAGATAATAGATGTCATAGGAAAATTTTAATTTATCTTAAACGGATTAACAAGATACTATTCAAACTTTTTACATCATTGGATAGAATATAAAAATGAAATGTTTCTCACTTAATGAGTTTAATTTGTAGTGTTTTCTGATCTATAAATCTTTCAGATCTTGTGATGTTCTTTAACAAATAGTACTTTAGCATTTTACGAAATAAGCACAACACTTGTGTTAAATCTGACGAATTTTATATTCGTCAAATTTTCTGATCTTTTTCAATCACAATGACTATCAAAGCTGAAGACAACAATTGACTTCGTATAGTTCATGTTCGACATATTGAATACTATCAATTTGCTTTCTATATTGAACTGTCAGAATGAATATTTTTTTAGATCTACAAAAATTTAAATATTAGAAAAGCATCAATAATTAAAGTCTTTCTATACAAGACAATGTAATATAATTCATAAATACTCGAAAACAACTTAGTTCTTGTACTCTCTCTCTCTCTTTTTCTTTCTATCATAGATATTAGCTTTAAAATGTATCTACGAAAAAAACAGCTTCATAATAATGTCTATTATATTAAAAAACATTCATCTTTTAAATTTCATTGTAAGAAGATCCTATTCAAAAAGAACTATGTTTAGCAATAAATTCGTCAGCAAACTAATAATTATTTTCATCATTTACGATATTGTATTCGTAGTATTTGATTATTGAAGTATGATATGTTATATAATTTTTCAGAATTCTAAACAATTGTCCGTGAGATATACAAATAATTTTCTTAATTGACCTTTCAGATCTTATATAATGACTAATAATGTCTGTAATTAAACAAGAGCACACTTAACTTTTCAGAATTAGTCGGCTTTCTTGATATAATATTTGCTTTATTTATCGTCATTTAATTTAATGTTAACATGAATGTATAAAACGTTTAATTTGAAGGACGAGTATGTCTTCCGACGTGATGATAAAAGATGTTATTCTGTAATTACAATGGTTTTTCTTCATTTTCTCTTTAATTATATTATCATAATATCAGTCGGAAGGAGACAAAATGAAATTTTTTGTAAAAAGACATAGCTTAAATTAATCATGTCATCTCATTTTTTTTCATAATGAAACCCTTTGAATGCATATTGGCATTTTTTTTTCTACTCATTCATACAATAATTTGTCTTGTTTGCTTCAAGTAAGTTTTACTTATCTAGTTTCAATCATATATAAGTTTATACTTAAGTAAGTGAAGTGTCAATGATTGTTTGAGTAAAAAAAGAAGCAATAATTTTCTTAATATTTTTGAACTTTGAATTACATAAAGAATATTCCATAATAACCGAGGATAAATAGTCAACAACACTTTTCATAGGTTTTTTAACGTAGAAGACTGAAACTTGTGTCACATACATATCTAACTAAAATTTCTAATTTTTCAAATTTTGAACTCTCTTGTTAAAACTAATGCTGAAATGCATGCGCAAAATCAACATATATGAATTTTTTATAGTTAATTTTTTGTAACATGTTTATTTCTTGACTAATGATATTTATAAACATATGATGAAAAGAAACTTTACAAGAGAAATTTTTTCAAAAACATAAATTATAATAAAACTCAATGTGTATGAACATGGTCTCCATTATTTTTTACAGTCAATTATAATATAAAAGGTATTTGGTCTATCATTTTTTCTTGTGCATTTTCTTTTTCTAATTGTAATGATGTATGGGAGGCCAGAATTTTCGGCCTGGAACTTCGGCCCGGTCCTAAATTCCGGCGGCGTTTCGGCCCAGGCCGAAATATCACCGGAAATCCGGCCCGGAACGAAATTCATCTCACTGCTGTTTATAAAAATAGTCTAGCTTCAATGAATAGTTAGCACATTTCCATAGTGCTGAGCAGGACGACGTAGTGCTGAGCAGGACGACGTAGTGCTGAGCAGGACGACGTAGTGCTCAGCAGTACGACATAGTGCTGAGCAGGGTGATTTTACATCTCTTTATAGTTATAGCATTCTATCAAGCCTACTGCATTTCGAAAGATAGCCCAGTGTGTTAGTAGACAAAAAGTAGCGTATACATTATATAGTTGAGATTTAATTCGAGCTATAGATTATAAAAGTAGTGATTAAACTAATGAACAAATGACTCGATAACTGACAACACCAGGGATAGACAAACAAGAATATGTGCGCATGGTCGATAGAGCGTTTAATGGACTTCTATCAAATATTTCTCGTGAGATTTCAAGATAAAAAGCTATAAAAGATTTTTAATGTATTACAAGTTTGATCTAACACTACTTATTTATTAAACGTCTAAGTCATCTTTAGGTTTTTTTGTATTTTAATCGATGAAAAAAAGAACATCGTAATAAACAAGTAAATTCACGTTAACAGACATGTCGAAGAGTTCAAAAAGCTATCAACATTTGTATCGGAATATTAATTAATTGAAAGTAGATTAGGAAAGCGTTACTTAGCGGTCTTATTGAGCACTGTAGTTTTATTTTGACAGTTGTTGTCATGAATTAATAGTTATTTCTCAAGGCTACAACACTTCTAATACAGTTTATATGAGACTGCTGAGCATTACGTCGTCCTGCTCAGCACTGCGCCTTACTGCTCAGCTCCACGTCGTCTTGCTCAGCACTACGGAGTGTATCCACTAGTTATAGAAAAATGGCATCCTTTTTTAGGGATTGATGAGATGAATTTAGGCCCGGGCCGAAAGTCCTTCATGATTTTCGGCCTGGGCCGAAAAATCACCTGAAATTCGGACCGGGCCGAAAGTCCGGCCGAAAATTCCCTGGACCGAAATTCATGTAACCCTGATGTATTACATACTTTTCTACGAATGTTGTCTTTCAGTACACTTCATATACGTTCTCAGTTCATCATACATCAATTATTTAGCATTACTATCTCCTGATTCTATACATTCATTAAATAATTGCACTACGAACTATGAGGTCAATACTCCATGTTGTTTTGAAACGATTTATATTCCATAGAAACTATTTACAGTCTTTTTCGATTTTTTGTAACTGATGGACATTTACAATAAACTTTACCATTAAATCTAAGAAATTTTATATATAAATGCATTCCTATACAGTTAAAACAATCCTTAACCCTTCTATTGTAGTTGACTAGATAGAAAAAAATATTACAAAAATCTAGTATGACTATTCATGTACGTTAATCTTGTTTATGCATTTCAGTACTAGTTTTAGTTACAGAGTTGTAAGTTTAGAAAATTAAATATCTTGGTTAGAGATAGGCATGATAAAAGTTTTAATCTTCTATGTCAAGAAAAAAATATGAAAAATTTCGTTGACAATCTATTCTCATTTATTATAGAATATCATTGATGAATAGTAATTTCGAATCTGTTGATTGCAATGATAATTATGATGATAAAGTAACAAATCCCTCAAGTTATAAATGTAATAAGTTTTTCTCATTAGATGATATTGAATTGATTATCATGGTGAAAATCTTGATAGAATAAATAAAAAATAATTTATTAAAATCAATTCAAAATATAATAATCTCCATATATTACTAAGAAAAATTCTTAGATATGTTAAATTCTATGTAAATTATCAATCATATGAAGGAGACGTTTATCCTATTATTGTATTTAGAATGCTAAAACGATTTATCATGCTTATACCACAGTGTTTTCAACAATAATTGCTTCAATATACATTTTCTGTTTCATATTCATAAATTTGAAATATGCTAAGAATTATTATCATGTCCGAAAAATAATACATTGTTACTTGTATGACTGCATAAGTTAATTAAATCGAAAAATTTCTAATTTATTTATATTCGAAGATATCATAGAGAAGAATGCTACTATATTTTTTTCTTTCCTTGTGTTAATTTTGTTTTTGTTTTACAAGACATTTATTACTGGACTAATGGTATTCTATCTTTCTTATGTTTACATTTTTGCCTATGATCTAATGGTTTTTCTCTTTGAAATTTTTTCTGATAATTTTTCATATTTCTCTATTGTGATTAATTCTTCTCGTTAATAAAGAAATAAATCTTCTGATTATATTTCAATTGATTTATCCGAATTGCACATTTGACATTCGTTCAAAAGTTAAAACGATTGAAGTGACATTGTTTATTTGAGTTCTCAACAAAATAAAATAATTGATTTATTTTTTTTTTTTAATTAAAAAATGCGACTCTGATTTTAGTTCAAACAAAGTTTTCCTATAGATTATATTATTATAAAATTATTTATTTAAAATGATAGAAGATGTTTCTGTTGAATATAATATAATATATCAAAGAAACTTGATCCATAGATACACTCTGTCCAAATTAACATTCAACATGGGCAAATATGCCTCATATATATTCTGGTATATTATCTTGAAGGTCACGATAATAAGCATTTTATTATAGAAACGTTCTTTTGATGTCTGAATAATTTACAAAATTATCTTATATTAATCTAGACAGTTCGACTGAATTGTATTGATGATTGTCTGTACTATAAATATCTCTAGTAAAGAAAAAACAATATCTACTAAAACAATATGCATCAACCCCAAATAGTATTTGTATTGTTGCTCTCTTGACAATAGCCAATAGAGGAAAAATCACATTTTCTAGTTTAAGAAGAAAGTAGCATTGTTGAATTTTTCTCTGAACTAAAAATCCATGTATCGTTATTATTTCAAATTGATACAGGATATCAGTTGATGCATCGCTCTTGAAAGCAGTGCCAGATTTAGATGGAGGACTCTGATAATGATCGCCTTTCCTATTAAAAAGACTTCATTTTTTTTTAGAAGAAAATTTGTAGAAATGTGTCGATGATATCTGTAATGAACTTCAAAATTCATTTCTTGATCATGATTGCTTTCTCCAGCGCCAAAATGCATTTCTTTACTAACGTTCCAAATCTTACAGAGCTCGAAAGTTCTACTCAAAGTTCTCATACTTTGATCATACCGATGACATTATCATTAGTTAATACATTAGAATGGTCAACTATTATCTTAAATCGCTGGTTCGTTCCAATAATGTTCTTAATAGGTGTATTAGGAAATATATTTAATCTAATGGTATTTACACGTAAAAATTTTTTTAGAAAATCATGTTTTCTATATCTTCTGGCAGCATCAATAAATAATATAGTTATGTTTTTAATTGGTCTTTCAACTCGAATAATGGATGATGGTTTTCAAATAACTATTTTTCGTAGTGATTCAGATGTATACTGTAAATTTCGAATTTATCTTGTTTATACTCTTTTTGCAATATCAAATTGGTTTCTTGTTTTTGCATCATTTGATCGATTTTATTCAACAAGTCAATCAGCATTAAAACGTCAGCGCTTTTGTTGCAATCGAATGGCATTTAAACTAATTTGTTTAACAGTAATTGGATGTCTTCTAACGCATATGCATATTATTATTTATTACAAGTACTTGTACTACTTAAATGTATACAATAAACCAACATTAACATGTGCATCAGATAATGGAATCTATACTATGTTTTTTTCCTTTTTTATGTTAATTTTTTATAGTCTATTACCTCCAATATTAATGTTATTAATAGGTCTTTTAACATTAAATAATATTCGAAAGTCTCATCAACAAATAAATCCAAATCGAACTCAAACATTAACAAGACGAGATGCACATCAATTAATTAAAACTCTTTCAATACAAATAGCTCTTCTTATAATAACGACAATTCCACATTCATCCTATTGGATTTATATGGCATTTGCATCAGGACAATATTCAATGAAAACAAATCTTACACTAGAATATGAAAAATTTATTTTAAATATTGTTCGTTTGATACTTTATATTAATTATGGAAGTATATTTTATATACAAATTAGTATTTCCAAAACATTTAGAAATGAATTTATTAAAATTATTAACAAAATGAAAAGACATTTTAGAAATTTATATTAACTCCCTCGCTTTTCTTTTTTCTCAATATTATTTTTCTTTAATATTTATCATCTTATTTAATGAAATATATCGGTGTGTTGTCAATAAATATCTTAATATGAGCACATGTTAATATTTATTTTTCAGAAACATATTCCCAACAAATTGATTGTGGTGAAAAATTGACTATAATAATATCAATTATTCTTCCTTGTTTTTTTGTTTTTTCTTTACTTATTTGTTGGATGATAAGACCTTATCCACATCAAGCATCAAGTGTCATTGAATTTCAAATTCGACAACAAATAGATTTGCAAAATTTCAATGATAAATAAAGTAAAATGAAGTAATTTTCTAATAGTATGATTATAAATAATTCTCTAGATGTTGATTGATGATCATTGAGAAAGAGTTTTTCTTCAATATATTCCTCTTGATTTAATCGATCAAAACATGATAATGGTCTTATTAATCTTGGTCGTTTTTATAATATATTCTATATGGAGTATTTTTTTTCTTTGTGCAAACTTTTACAACATAAGCTTTTGTATACAGTAGATTAAGAAAAGAAAAACTGACTATTCTTAATCATTAAAAAAAAAAAGAAGAAGAGAAAAAAAAAGAATTCGATGATTAAGTTATTTTAAATAGTACCAGTGGGTAAAATTTTCCTATTTACTCATAAATAATGTTGACCAACATTAAATAAATATGTTTTAATAAATGCACTAGGGAATGAGAGCAGAAGTTGAGCCTTCACAATTCGCAAAAGAAAAAAAAAGAAATGAATCATTATCATGCGATGCAGATAGAAATAAACATGTAGACAATGATCTATGTTCATCAAATAAACGGTGACAGATCTAGCAGAAGACTTATTTAAATGTAGAATAAAGCATCCTGCTATGCTTTTGTTATAATAACGTTTTTGCCTGACGTATCTTGAGTAGCTTCATCTGTTCTTCAGCAAAGACTGAAGAGAGAAAAAGAAAAAGAAAGAAAACCTTTCTCATTTCATTTTGCAAATACTGAAAAACGACTACTTTCTTTTGCTTTTCTTTCACCATTTGTTTTTTTTTCTGTTGAATAGTTGGACTTACGTTTTCGAACAATAAAATAAAAAGTGAATCCTCCTAGTGTAAGTTTTTACTTTTTTTTAAGAATAATAAAGAAAAAAATGCAGTAATCGAATAACACATCAATCACAAGATCTTTAGGTTGTTTTTTTTCTGATTTGTTTAGATATTTGATTGATGACAGCTGTTTGATAGAGATCATACATGCAAACTTCAGATTTATTTTTATATTTGGAGAAATTAGATCTTTTCGAACAAAAATTTACATCTATTTAAAATAATATTCTCTTTTATAAAAGAAAGAAAAAAACCGTTTTGTAAAAGAAACTTCTATGTAAATTACAAGTTTTAATACAACAAAAAAAAGAAACTTGTCTTCTCGTTCTTCTCATTTTTCTTTCGTACTCCTGTCTGCTAATCATTCTTTTTTTCATCATTGCCAACAACAGCAGGAACAACACCATAGAACACTAAACATTCTGTGGTTTGACAGAATAAGAGAGGAAAGAGAGAAATGATATAGAAATGAGAGAAAGAAGTAAGAGAGAAAAACCACATAGTTGCAGCGTTCTGCGTTCTTTTTACTTCTATGTCTTGTTCGGTTCTTTAGTGATGACTGCTTGTGTGTGTATGTGTGAATGAATGTATTCAGGCAACGACTAACCGTAGAAGAAACTATTTAACAATTCGAAACCTTGAACACGCCTTATATTGTGTATTAAATAAAAGAAAGTCAGGATATCAATTATATAGAATAACAATCGTTCAGTTGTCTCAAACATTTTCAGGTAAGCATATTCATCAAAGATCATATATTGACATTTGACTTTGTCTCTAGTCAACTGATTAATAATGTAATTGTAGAATATAGTATCATTCAATTTGATATATTTATAAAATAACCTTTTATCAATTATCTACATATATAGCTAGTAGCAATATAATGATAATCATACATTAGTTATTTTTCCCTGGGTGAAATCTGTGAATAATCATATAAAAAGAAACAATCGAAAAATTTTTTAAATATTAATCACCAAAAACTGATGAAAAAGAAAAATACAATGCCTGAATACAAATGAAGGTCAAGAGCATATATATGTAGGTAGCATCATAGTATAATAGTTGATCAATTTATACAGCTATATTAATCATTATGAAAACAGTAGGCATAACGCATTCTAGGAGATTATGCAAATATTGTCTGGAAGCGTAAGACTCACTACCATAAATATATCGAAACAATATGTATTTTTATATATAGAATAGAAGAAGAAAATGCATTAGTACGCTTCGATGCACCAATGAAGAAATAGATATAATTTAATTCTAAAATATTGCTTATTCTTTTATCATTAAAAAACTATATACGATATCGAAAATTAGTTTCGTCTTTTTTTAAATAGAATATTGATATATTCAACCTTTATTTTTACATAGTGACCTTTTAGTTGTCGCATAAAATTGCTTATATCTTTCTTCTTTCTCCTCAATGAAAAGGTAAATGTAACAATTGTTTTACAATAGAGATCATTGTTATTCATGTACAGTTACAAAAAAAAAAGAAGGTCAATATAGAAATAACTAAGATATTAATCGTATTATGAATAGTTTGGTTTCTTTCAAAGTAATAATTGTCAGATGAAATGAGTATAAAATTATTTTAAAAAAAAAAAAAAGTATAAAAGTAAGAATTTTTTATGATTAACATAAGAAGTACTTATTCTAATGAGTAAAAGAGTCATTTCATCAAACTTGATTGCAAAGTTTATTATATCGACATTGTCGATGTTGGTATAAAAAGAGCAGCAAAGTTCAATTAGATCTAAAACTAAAACACACTCGCTTGTATGTCAGCTGTAATAAGAAAAATCAATTAGTTTTTTTTTTTTGATTGATCGGCAAACAATAAAAAAAAGAAGAAAAGGATTCAGAGAATCAATATAAAGAAAACCACGCCCAATATTCTCTTTTTTTTTTTTTTGCGCAATTTTCACAAAGAGATTGATGAGTGTGTTAGAGTTCCAGCTGTCTTTTTAGTGTGAAACGAAGGAAAAAAAAGATAAGACTTGTCGTCAGTATTGCATAAACAGATGAAGATAGTTATGAACTTCGCCTTTTCTTCTCGTTTGATAGGCATATAAAAGTGCACATAACCAGAAGAGAATCGTTCGAATGTCCTTGAATGGTGATCGGCTTGCAACCTCGGCTCCTTTTTTTTTCTTTTCTCCCTCTCTCTCTCTCTCTCATCAAATTAACAGTTCGAAGGAAAAAGAAGCGAGAAAAAGACGGCCTTATATTAGTGTGATTATACTGACTTTTTGTATTCTACTTGCAAGCTAGTATTGCAAACCATTTATTATATGAGATAGGATGTTCAGTGTTGTGCGTGTGCTCATTATTCGAAGAGGCGCATGCTGTGTGTATGTGTGTCTTTTCTCTGTTTATCTCGAAGGATTCACTTGCCTATTAGTCATAGAAGAGAGAAAAAGAAGACAAAAAAAAAAAAAAACAAGAAAATATTTCTATGAGACGTGACTTGCTTAAAAAAATGGTGATACACTATATAAAACAAATGTATTCATTCCTAGAGAAATAAAGAGCTATTAAGAGAACAAGTACTATTTATATCGTTTCGGTCTTTATAGATACTTCATATATTGTCAGGTAAGAGTATTTCACAATGTGAATTTATTTGAAGTTAATATTAGTTTCTTTTCTTTTGTTAAAGAACAAGAGGTTTTTGTATTAATTTAAACGAAACATTCATGAATGAATGTTGTATTGAAAAACACCTAAATTATGTTAATGCTTGTTTTGAAAAGGTTTTATCGTGCAGATGAGAATAAGTTATTACCATACATTTTCTTTCTATTTATAGTATGAATGAGAATGAATATTTGTCCTTGATGTTTGACAAGTTCTTTTTTGCTTCTTCATTGATTTGTTTCGACAAGTGTTCTATAGAACCATCTCTTATAAAGAGATTTTCTTTTCTAAATGGAATGTCATTATATTTTTTTTCATTGATTAGTTGATAATTATTAATAAAATGAATTATTTAGTTTTTCTTTATCGAATGTCCGGTTAAAAAGATAAGAATGTTAATTTTTTTAATTTTCATTAAATAAGAATGAACTAGATTTGATCGTCGGAAGAAAGAAACTCTAAACGATGAAGTTATTTCCCAAATGAATAAATCTGTGCTTTGTATGTCAAGGTTAATTAAAGGAAAAGTAAAGGCAGATTGCGATGGGAAACAAAAACCAGAAAGAATCTAAGATTAGGGTCAAATAAAAAATGAATACATATCGATCGATTCTATCTGATTGACATTTTTTTTTCCGTTGATCTAATTGTAAGATAAAAATATATATGAATAATCTATTGTAGAAAAGAGACAAGTGGACATGCTTGTACAACAGTGGTGATGTACTACTTAGACTTTTGTGGTGACTATGCCCTGTGGCTTGATCGTCCTCGATTGTCATCTACTTTTCGTCGTTGTTATTCTCGTCGAATTAGTCGCATCAAGATCTATTTCAATCGATAGAGATCAACGAGAACTAACAACGTCAACAAATAAAGCAATGCACAAAGATCGAAGACATTCGATATTTGACGACAAGAACAGAGCTGTTTTAGGAGAACTTGTAAGTTTATTTAAAATAAATCAGAAAAAAAGAAGAATATTTTCTTATTCATTTTTTTTTCCTTTAATTTCTACCAGCATACATATTTAAGTAATTATGGTTATTTACCTCGTTCTGATTTGGAGACTCGAGCAATGAGAACAGATGAAGAATTTCGTTCAGCAATTCGACGTTTACAAACATTTGCTTCTATCCCAGTAACTGTACGTATGGTTATTTTATATTTCAAATAATATTTTCAATTTTGTTCTTGTCTAGGGTAAACTTGATCAAGCAACACTCGATTTAATTCGACGTCCTCGTTGTGGTTTAGCTGATTATGAACCGAATCGTTTACCACGTCCTCATACATATGGAAATCGTCGTCGACGACGACGTTATGTTTTACAAGGACAAAAATGGGCTAAAACATATTTAACATATAAGTAAGTTAAAAAATTATTTATTTCTTAAATAAATAAAAGTAGTAAGAAGAGTTATTGTTGCAAATGTAATTAATATTGGTTTGAATAATTTTTTTTTTCCATAAATTTGTTTTTCATTTTCAAAAATACATTGAAATTTTTTAATATGAATTTTATCGGATTTTAAATTTTTCCATTGTGTTATATAATCATCATATTCATTTAATATTTGTGCATATTGTATAACAAGTAATATTTGATAATTAAGTTCAATAGAAGTTAAATGACATTCAATAAATGAATTAGCTTGAATAAAACCACGAGCTGGTTGTGATGCTATTATATCAGGTTGAGTTGTTTTTAATTTAAATATTATTGGAAAACAATTATCATTATATAATTTTAAATTAATTGTATTATATGATTGAGAAAAATTAAGATATCTTGAAGGTTTTGTACGTAATTCAATTAATTTGTCTTGTTGAGACAAACATAGAAAATTACTAAATGTTTTTTGATGATAAATATTTGATGTTTTATGCTTAATTGAATCTTGTTGGGTTTCTATAAAAATATTTTTATTTGAAATGTCACCAGAATTTTTATTCTCTTGATTAGATAAATCATAAACACTAATTGTTTTTTCGTCTTTCCAATTCATTGAAAATGAGAAAAAAAAAAATTACTAAGAGGAAAATGAATAAAAATCTAACCGCTTTTTTTTTTTTTTTTATAGAATTATGAATTATACACCAGATATGCCTCGTGATTCAGTTGATCGAGCTATTTATCATGCTTTATTAATTTGGTCTTATCCAAGTCAATTAAGATTTCGTCAAGCAAACGAAATGGAACATCCTGATATTGAATTTTTATTTGCTCAAGGTTATCATGAAGACGGATACCAATTTGATGGAAAAGGTTGGAATTTCTATAAACGGGAAATTCATAAAATTGTTTTTGTTTAGGCTCTGTTCTAGCTCATGCTTTTTATCCCGAAGAACATCTTGGTGGAGATGTTCATTATGATGAAGATGAAGATTGGACAGCATATCGAGAAAACGAATATGGTTTAAGTTAGTATCATTTTTTTTTTAATGATTAGATGCTCTATTGAAAGAATATTTTTACTAGTAGAAATGTAAGCCAATGTATAGTTTCACAATGAAAATTTAAAGTTTTTAAGGGAATTTGTTTGTAAAATTTTTTTTTGTAGTTTCGAAAAATTTTGAAATGGAATCAAGAAAAAAATGATGTTAAACGACATATTGATAAGAAATTAGACAAGAACATGTGTGAAAAGTCAAAATGTAGGCCGAAAATGTTTTAAATTCTTTTATCTGTTTATGTATCCCGAGGATGATAGATAAAATATTTAACAACTATGTTCGATAACAACAATATCGTGGGCAATTCAGTGAATCGACTTACATTCTCTAGCTTTTCAATTTGAAGCGAAAAATTTCGATTTTCTCCTTTTTAGACTTTCATATTAAATATCTACAGAATAATTCATAATTAACTAGATGATAAAAACGAATTCATTATGTTAGACAACCCGTTAAAGTTTTTATTCATAAGAAAACTGTCAAATATAGACTATGTAGAACTAGTACTATTGACCAATGGCATCTCAAACATTCTTAGGACGTTTGAGTTGAAGAGAATTAATGCTATCTAATAGTCCTTCTCACATTGAGTCCTATAACTCAACAAGAAAAAAAGCTAATGACTCGCTGAACCTATCATTATCTAGCCCTTTATTGCAGCTATTTTTACAGTATGAATTTCATCGAGTTTCATGTAATCATTCAACAGCTACGAATATTTTACACAATCATAGCTTAATTAGATCGTAAGCTCTTTTTCTTATTGAATTATAGAACTCATAATGAGAACACTACCATAAATCATAACTTCTCTTTAACTCAACTGATCGAGGTATGAATGGTTGTTTTAATCTATATTGCTAAAGTAGTATATATATTAAAAATTCATATGATTATTATTAAGAATGGGTGAGATCAGGAAGGATTACTTACAACCAATTGTGTATTATTTTCATTAAGATCAATAGTTCAAAAATGTATCCATCGACAATTCCCTTGTGAAAAAAATTCTGATGAGTTTTCTATCCCCAAGAAAGAAAAATCAGTCAGCTTGATTAAAGTAGGCTAGAGATTTTTTGTATTTCTTATTATCTAGTTATTTATAAATTATCTTGTATATCGAGATAGATATCTTACTCATCTACCTAGCACAAGTATTATAAATAGATATTCAGTGACACATCCTGAAATTACAAGTAAAGACATCTGTACAATAGTTTGACTTCATTACGAATTAGTTTTGTATCATACAAAAAATTAATTAAAACAATGATTTTTATTTTAGTGGATTTATTCTCAGTAACTGTTCATGAATTAGGACATTCATTAGGTTTAATGCATTCGAATATACCTGACGCAATTATGTTTCCCTATTATCGTGGTTATTCCAAAAGTATTAAATTACATGGTGATGATATAGCAGCTATTCGAAAACTTTATGGAGGTAAAACAAAAATAAATTAATAAAAAAAAAAAAAAAAAAAAAGAAAAAATTCTTTATTTTCTAGATCCTCCAACGGAAGTTTTAATTCCACCAGCATTAAATTCTGATGAAATAACACGACCAACTAATGATTATACAACATCACAACCAACAACAACAAATATAGTTGAAACAACAACAATAACAACAACAACATTATTGCCAACACTAACAACAATTGAAACAACAACTTCCACTAATCCAATAACAACTATAGCTGTAACTAATCAAGAAAAAATTCATAGTGAAACAACAACAATAATAACAACAACAACAACAACAACAGCAGCAGCAATAGTAACAGTGAATAATTCATATGAAACTAAAGATCGACATATAACAAAATCGCCAATGCCAAAATCAACAAATCATCGATTACAATCACATCTGGAAAGACAAACATCAACAGAACAAATTAAAATGAATTATACAGATCGATCAAAATTAGATTTATGTGATGGATTTTATGATGCTATTACGATGTATAAAGGAATTTTATTTATATTTAAAGGACAAGTTTGGTTTTTATTTTTAATTAATATTTAATTTTGATTTTTGTTTTATAATTTAGTATTTTTGGCAATATGATCGACGTGGTTTAGATCCATCATCACCAATGATTAATAATGCTTTCTGGTTAGGATTACCAGAAACATTAACAAAAATTGATGCAGCTTATGAACGATCTGATGGTCGTTTAATGCTTTTCTCAGGTATAATACCTTTGTTTTTTTTTTTTCGTTTAAAAAAAAAAGAGAACTATGCTTTACATTAGGTCATCAATATTGGGTATTTGATGACAATAAAATATCGATTGAAGACGATGGTTCCAGTTATCCTCGTAATATAAGTTTACTGGGCCTTCCAACACATGTTGATCATATAGATGCAGCATTTTTATGGTCATTTAATCGTCAAGCTTATCTTGTTTCAGCAAATCTATATTGGGCATTAGATGAAAGATGGAATCGTGTTAATACATATGATTATCCAAGAGATATGACTATGTGGCAAGGAATTGATATTCCACTTGATGATGCTTTTGTAGATTTAACTGGTAAAAACTAAATTTTCATTTTTAGGTTTTTGTTTTTCAATTTTCATATTTCTAGGTTCAACATATTTTTTCAAAGGTCTTGATTTTTGGCGTTTAAATAATACAAGTATGGAAGCAGCAATAGATTATCCTCGTTCGATAAATACTGATTGGCTTTTTTGTAATAACTCTCGATCTTCATCGTCATTATTATGTTTTCAATCGACTTATAACTTTTTAATTATTTTCCTTACTATTCTTCATTGTTCGTCGCTCTAAGCATCTCATACATTCTTTTATTTGTTTTTTTAATTTTTGGCTTGTGTCTGATACTCATTTGTACGTGTGTGTCGCCGCCAAAACAGAAAGTGTCCCATTTTCTCAGGTCACAATAGTTTTCATTGATGGAAACAAATTGAATATTATGAAAAATGAAAAACAAAAAAAAAAACGAAAATAAATATGATATCATGATCTTGAAAAATGAACACGTCGTAGACCTGCATCGTTCTTTGAATTCTTTTTTCCGCCTTGTTTGTTTGTTTGTTTTTTTTTTTAATTCGTATTTCTTATTCTTCTTCACAGTACTCTAGTCGATTATTGAGAAATAAAGAAATTCTTTTATTATTTAATAATTTCTTTTTTTTTTTTTTACACAAAAATAAAATATAGATACGATATATAACATAATTAATTTGTTGTTCTTCTTTCTATACTTCAGATCAAATTCTAATTAATGGAAATATATACCATTTATCTATTAATACAACAATAAATATTATCAAAGGTTAATATTGATTTATTTATATGAATTTTTTTTTTTTGCTTAAATTATAGGAGATATTGAGAATTATGATGCTGAAAAAAAATGAATCAATAGTTCTCTGTAAAAAAAAATAGATGATTTTATATTTTATAGTTTTGAAATTTTTTATATATTCTATTATAAGTGGCATTGTAAGAGTGTCTTACCATTACTTATATGTAGGATTGAATATAAAAATTATAAAATGACAAACAATTTTTGAAGTTTTTTAAAAATAAAAACTGAAGAGTATAGTATTTAGACTTGTTTTTTTTTTCATATAATCACTTAAAGTTAAAACAAATATTTTCTTTTTCATAAACAACCTTGTAAAACATATTCTTCATTCAAAAATATATTATTATTCATGAATGCATCTTGTGCTCTCTCTCTATTCATTTTTGAATAATACATATCGATTCTTGTTAATATATAATTTGAAAAGAATTCATTGGTTTTTATTTTCCACATAAACATGCAATTGCTTTATACTGTTTCTTCATGATAAACACCAAACATTAGTACACATAATTTTATGTATTAATATTTAAATTTGTTCGTTTTTTCTTAGATAAATATAATAAATTATCAAATGAGAGGAACTATGAAAAATTTGACGAAAACGAATAAATCAGAAAACTATATGACGTAATTGATTTATTTTCTGGCAGCAAGACAAAAAATGACCTTTTTGGGCACATTTTATTTTTATTTTGCACTGTTGTAGACGAGTGACACGTGAATCTCTTCCGTTTCTTTTTTCTCTTTTCTCCGTCATATAATCATTTTCTTTTTGCTTATATGAGAATTATATTATTCATAACAAAAATCTATTTCAGCTAACATATAGAAAGAAACATGTCGTCTTCATCCAATCCAAGTACAGACGTTTCTGATGCAAAAATAGCTACAGAATCAGCACCACCTGGTATGAATTCATTTACAAATACTGTTGGTATGCATCCGAATACAGACGAAACATCACCACAACAATTTCCATCAAATATACGACGTGGAAGTTGTGATAAACCAGGATGTACCGATGATCATAGCGGAAAACCACATGAATAACATAAAATGTCTTCTTTTTTTTTCATGTTTTTTCATGTAAAATTTTCATTCAAGCAACTTACTTTTATTTAATAAATGCGTAAAATATTCGATTTATAAATATAAATTCTGACTAATTGAAACATGTACATTCACCTTGATAAAAAAGAAAAAAAAACAAAGATACTACGCACAAAATAATTCCATTAGATCTTGTGCTATTTTTAGATTATTATTTTCGAATGTAAAAGCTCTACAATCAATTAGAAGTTGAAACAAAAAAAAAAACAAATTTACACTAAGCAGTTGTTGTTTATGAAAAATGTACATGTGTTACCTGGATGTTTCGAACATTCAAGGAACAAAAAAAGCAGAATAAATTAATTGTCGATGATTATTTTGATTGTAATCAGCTTGTTCTTTCTTGTAAACATCGAAATATTAATCTCATTGAATTTCTCAAAAATAAAAGAATTTCGAAAAACATTCTGACGCAATTCTTTATATCATAATTCGTTTGAAGACTCTGCATAAACATAGATTTACTCAATCTAAGGTAAATTTAGTTCTATAATTTTGTTTTACATAAGAAATATTCATTGATCTATTATTTCACAGAAAAGAAAAACCAGTTGTTTTTATCCTTGTTCGTTCTTATTAGTACATTTTGTAAATAAAGAAGAATTTTTTTCTTATTCTTATGCAAGATTTTATAGATCACAAATGTATTGATATTCAAGTTTATATGAAAAATAAAGATTTAAAACTAAATAAAAACGTAAAATATTGTGACATTGATTGATCCTCTAATGAAAATGTTTGTGTTTTTTTCTAAACGAATACAAATTAACAATATTTCATTCGATGTTATGCAAATTAGATTTTTTATGTCTTGCATAAAAAGTCTAATCAAACAAGTGAATTATAATCATTCAAACTTAACTAATGCAGTTTTTGTGAAATTTTATTTTTTTTTCGAATAGTACTATTGATGCAATAAGCTTGAAATAGGTTACTTCGGTCATACAATTCAATTGTTCTAAATAGAGAATTGTAATTAATTGATAAAAAAATAATATATCATATATAGATGTATCAACGAAAATTATCAGAGGAGAGAACAATAAATAAATGGTTATAATCAAGTAAAATGCATACATCTATCAATCTGATAATTTATCTATTAAGAAATTTTTTTTATAAAAAAATTCTTAAAAATGAAATTCTACAGAAAAAGTTACTTGTTAAATAGTATATTTTAACAATTTTCAAAAATAATAGTTTATTATTCAATAAAAATTTTCTTCTATATTTATCGAACGATTTCATAAGAATATTGTTTAGAATTTAATTTGATTATAACCTAATAAATTAATGAAGAATAACGATGACATAAATGAATTGTGAACAACGTAAGTATTATGATAAATGTATTGTTTTATCATGATTCTAACAATAATTTACTTTGACAAATCATTTGACGAATATATGACAGAATTCAACAAATATAACTATAGTATTTTGTTTTCAAAATTTTCACCAATATCTTCGAATAGTAGATTGATTATTAAATTTCATCTTGAATATATTAAATGATTTGTTATTATAACCGATAGAAAAAGAAAACATTCAACATGACTGATAGTAATTGATGCAGTCGGTCAATATTGGTTAACCCTATGTTTTGATGATATAAGCATAAATATGATATAAGCAAAATAATATTAAAAGAAATTTGATCAGGATTATTCATTTAAAATTCTCCTTTCTCATATGCATAGATATTATAAACTACAGTATATTGAATCATATAGATAACAGTTATACAGCTGATATCTATTCGTTTTTGTCAAAGAAAGAGAAAAATGACGAAAGATGAAAAGAACAAACATTCATGTTCTGAATGGATTCAATTGTTTATCTCATTTATGATACCTGCAATGATTGCTATTTATACAATATTAGAAAATAATCGAGAATTAGCTATTGCTACTCAGCATCGTATTCAAGATCTTGCAATAGCTGACGATCAACAGAAAGATACTATTCTTCGTCAATTTCAAAGAACATTATTTCAATTAATTGAAAAATATGGTCCACAATTAAATAAATCATCAGCAGCTTCATTAGTTGTTCGTTTTGCAACACTTTCAGCATCACGTCAACTTGATCCTCATCGTCGTAATTTTCTTATTCGTTTGTTATATGATGCAAAATTAATTACATATGATTCAATTTCTAATCAACCGAGAGTTTCACTTGCATCAGCTAATTTAACTGAATTATGTTTGATTGATGGTACGGTCGGACAAACATTATTTCATATTTGCATGGAAGGCGCTATTATGACTAAAGCTAATTTTCATGGTATTAATATGCATGGTGCTATATTCAATGGAGCCAAACTGAAAAATGCTGATTTTTCTTCTACGACAAATAGTTTGTACTGTAGTGATATTGAATGTTTTGGACCGAGAAGTGCATCATTATATTTTGATAATAGTGATTTAACATCTGCTTTGTTTTTCGATGCTATTTATGACAATGTTTCATTTCATATGGCTCAAATGTCAAATGCAAATTTTCCTTTCTTTCGATGTGATTTTTGTTTATTTCATCTTGCTAATATGAGTCAAACAAGTTTACACTATGTAGAAATGTCCCGATCGTCATTTACAATGTCTACTTTTATACAAAGCGAAATTCATGATTCAAATTTTTATGAAAATGTCGATTTTTCAAATACGGATATGAGTTATGCTCATCTTATTCATAATAATTTTACAAAATGTCTATTTGATCGTACTAATTTGAGAAATGTTACATTTCACTATAATAAGATTGTGAAAAGTATATTTACAGAAGCAAAAATGTTTGGAATGTCAATTCTACATAGTATTTTTATTGATGTAAACTTTACTGGTGCTGACTTAAGTAAAAGTAGTTGCCAATATGTTCGTTGTGAAAGATGTAGATTTAACTTAGTCAATTTTAATCGTACTGACTTATCTAATTCAATGTTTATTGAAAGTGATTTTCGAAATGCTACGATTAGTGAAGATCAATTAAATCAAATTTCGTCTTTGGAAGGTTCAATATTACCTAATGGAAGTGTTATTGATTATAAATAAATTTTCTTATTTTTTCACAATATAGATACGCATTGTATCAATAGAAATGATTTGAGTTTGAGTACTGTGGTACAGAAAAAAAATTCTAACAGGAATTTTCTACATTTCAATTTTTCAGTTAAATATGAATAATAAAGGAAGATCGTCTATTGAATAAGAGATAATTGACTATCTACTCTTTCAGAATAAATAAATAGTTAAACATTCTAAATATAGTATACTATTGAGGACAGATCGATAGTCTAAATTTTTTCAAAAGTACAATTTATTATGTCGTTGAGGAAAATTTTTTATAATATTCTTTGATAGAGTTCAAATCTTGCTTTGATTAATAAATTTTGAATATATGTATATTGTATAATACTTTCAATTTAGTATGATGATTTTGAAATTCTTTTTATATATCAGACATAATTTAGATTTGACCTTATTTTCACATGAATGAATTAAATATGAAAAAAAAAAAGCTTTGTTAATTCTATTCTTATTTTAATTTTAAAAGAAAAACAATTTTCATCGTTATATTAATAGAATTTGTTAAAGTTTGTATAAGTTGTACTCAGAAAATATCGATATGAATATATAACATGTCAAGTGTTATGAATCAAAGAATATTACTCAGTTTTTTTGCACGTATGACTATTAATTAATTGGCTTGTTTTTAAATTCTATCGCGATTCTTTTTATGAATGAAACTTCAATGGTCGAAATAATTGTGACTATTGTATAAGTGTTCTATGTAAAAGATATGATATTTAAAATAATCTATAATACTTGATAATAATTTCAGTTATCTGACACTATCGATGATTCAATAAATCCAATAAACTAGAGGAATTTTTTCAATTAAAAAAATAATAGAATTCATCAATATTTAATCTGTATGATGCCTGAGAAATTTTAAGAAAATTCTTAAATCTTTCTCCGCACCATTATCATTAATAAGTGAAAAGCGAAGTTAAAGTTTATATAATTATTTTCTCACGATAGTTTTCTAAAAATATTTTTTTGACTCATCGTTGTGTTGCATTACAATCAATTATAAAGACATGAAAGAACTATGTTCATTATTCATATAGTGTTTTCAATCATGAAGCAAAAATGTCAATATACTAAAGAGAAGATACTTCTTGTATTCTTTTTATTGATAGATAAAATCATCTACAAATGTTTTGATAATTGAACATTAGAAAAAGGAATTCTTTGCAATTACTACATGATATACAATTACTGTCACTTATCGATAAAGAATAAAGCAAATTTTTTGTTAAATAACGATAATAAAACGAGAAATTTATTTTAGTCGAGTTTACATTACTTCTCTATGAAGTTTCTAATCAACATTTTGTATTTTAGTCACAAGTTAATAAATGGAATAATCGTCACTTAAATAATGGCGACATATGGTAAAATCATGTTTCTACATCAACTTGACATTTTCTTCGTCAAACAATCATTCATCACAAATCAATAATCAGAAACTGTTCATCAAGAATAAATAAACTTATCAAAAGTAAATTAATACGCATTCTTTGATTTGCACAGAACACTTCATTGCTTTTCTTCTAGTAAAAACAGACAAAGACATCATTAAAATGAGAATACTCTATAAATGATTATTGTAGAACGATAACATTTTGTCTCTTTTCTTTAAGAAACAAGTACAAAGAAAATTTTCTTGTTGATAATCATTTCTACATACATTTGTTTGTCGAGTAATTGGTTATCTTTTTTCTTCACTATCACTGCATATATTCATTGGATATTTTACTCAAGTAATCATTCTTTTAGAATGCTAATGATATCATAAAGATGTATAATTCAACATCAATTCAATCTCCAACATTTGTCTTCGATGGCCATGTTAATCGAGCATTATTATTCAATGCAACTGTCATTTTAATTACTTTTTACTCCGTCTATCTTTTTTATATCCATCATTTTCATTGTTGAGGTTTGACTCAAACAAATTGGTTTTTCGAATGCCATCTATCATAGTATTCTAACTCTTTGTTCTTTGTCTTGATTTAATCATTCGAACAATAGTCTCATATTAATACGTTTCCTTTGCACTTTTTTCATGATGAATGCTGAATTAATACTCGTCTTATTTCGTACGATCTTGTTTTAATGACATGAGACATAAAAAGAACGATTAGAAGTATTACGAAACCTTTTATTTTTATCTTTTGACTTTCATAAGACATTTGTAAAGCTAAAAATAAACCTAAATCAATACAAATTCATTTACATCTCATTTAGACATCATGAGAGTTTTAATAGGATTATATTAAGATAACAGATTTAACAGTAGTTTGAGAAAGATTTGGAAATAATCAAAAATACATACAACAGACGATCTGTACAGACAAAAAATTGATCTTTCAAATAAAACAATAGTTCAATTTGAATGAGCAAGATACAGGTTTCAACTTCTTTTGAAAACCTTTTGTGTCCTCTCGTATAATCAGTTATTGTGATAAGAATATATAGCAATATTTGTTAAGGAATAATCAGCGTATTCTAAGGAAAGCCATAGGTAGCAGGAATTTATAGTAGATATTACTTATAAAATTTATATTCATTCCTGCCGAATAGGGTAATATTATAAATAGTCAAAACGAATATTTCTGTATTGGCTCTTATATTTCTAAAAAATGATAATGAAATAAGTAAATATAAAAAGCATCGGTATGACCACTGAATGATCTAAAAGATTGCAAGAGATAAGTATCACACATAGATGATGAAACTAGAGACTCACTGTCTCATGGTTATATTAGAACAGAAACTTGAGATAAAGCAAGTAAACGAATAAATATGCACGAGTTATTTTAAATTGTTCGTCAATTGTCGTTAAAATCGTAAGATTTAATACTTGCTATATATGTTCTAAGAAAATTAAAAAAATTTCGATAACGATAAAGCACAACATCTTAGTCGAAGTCAATCTAATCTGTAATTAGACATAAGATCAACTCTGATAAATAATTAATGAAGTTGTCATTTGCTTTCAGTTTATATATGAAAATATTACTTTAAAATTACATATTCTAAAAAAACATATATGATTCTAGCACATAAAGGAGTTTTCATATTTATTAGAAGAAAATAGAAAACATCTTACAGACTTCTATAAGATCATTACCAGCATCGATCTTGTCGGCTTCTATCAGTTCTGAAATTTAATACTATGTGTTTTTTTGATTATATCTTCATTTTAAAAGTGTCAAAAGAAAGATCAAGGAATATACCAGTGAACAACTGAAATATAATACAGTTCACCTTTAGAAATGACTAATATCTATGTCTAGATCAATTATTCGAAAGAAAAAACTCAAGGAGCAAAAATAAAATGATACTTATAAATAGTAACGATTATCTTTATTGTAATCCAGAATTAGAACTTCTGACTCTTTGATGACTTTTATGTTTCAAGTGTTTATATATTCTCTGATATTCAAATGTAGAATAGGTTTTTAGAACTTATATTTTGTATGTGAAAGAGAAATATTTTATTAATTGGAACATTTAAATGAAAAAAAAAGAAGAGAAAATTTTCAACTGCCTATGGCCACAAAGTTCTAAAGATGATATCTCAGCCGTCGTTGTCATGCCATAGAAATATACACTAAATTTTTGAAAATTTTCTACAGCCATAATCAGTTTTCCAGGATGTCTTTGTATAGTTTCATATTATTACGTTCTCTACTATCATTTTCTCGCTTTTTCATTTCAAGCTTCCATAGAACCAAGAAAATTAAAGAAAAAACATCGAGAAGTTTCAACCATCGCAGCCAATTAATGCATTGACTTACACCGCTAGAGACCAATTGCGTTCGATGGCTTATATTTCATGGCAGGCTTGGCATCAATTTAGAAAGTATCATATTTCATTATTTCAATATTTGAAATTACACTTGAATACATAAAGATAATTTTCTGGCGTTACATTACTAAAAAGATCATGTTTTTGGCTGTAGAAATCTATTTCTTATGAGCGAATAAGCTCATTATGCTTAAGCATATACATGTAACCAGTAATGCTTTTTCTTATAAGCAAAAATAAACGAATGTTGAATAAATCATATTCTAATATATTTATCTTTGTTATAACTAACTCAGTTTGGAACTGTTAAAATCACGGAATATTAATGAACTGTTTGTTTCACTTAATATGTCATGTATTCACTTTTGTATAATCGCCATTATTTTGTAGCTTACAAGTTTTTCAAAAAATTAACTGAACTGTGAAGTCAACTAAAAGGCAACATTCCAATATATATATGCTTGTTTTTTTAAAATTCTAATGATTTGATCATTTGTTAATTGATTATTACATATGTGTGCTGATTGAGTGAAAATGCTAAAATTGTGCAATGTGAGAATAAGAAAAACCTGCATCGATATCGACACTTCTCTCTTTTTTTTTTACCTTTCATATGTCTCATGTTAACAAACAAAACCAAAAGAGAAAGATGTTGAAAAACGAAGTTGCACTAAAGTAGATCGATACTTAATATATCATCAAGGTGGAATTTGTCGGAAAATTTGTTTCTATTTTCGATTCAAATAACAAAAGTTAGCATTTGTTGACGAATTAGATTTTACATAGAAATTTTGTGCGATTTATAAACTAAAAATTGGTAAAATAAATGTTTTTTGAATGTTCACTGGTTAAATGAACTCATTCTTGTTTCTTATTTGATCGAAATTGTGCAAAACACAGCAATAAATAATATTATGAATGGCGAGAGGTATTTTAAAGAAGTAGCTCCACAAGTACCTCTTGCATCACCCATACGGCAAGTGTCAAATTTGTTTGTACACGCATTTGTACATGCTTTGAAATCATCACACGAAGAAATATTAATCGAGCCAACATGTAACAGTGTACAAGCACCGGTGGGTTTGCAGCAGGAGCATGAACAAGTTATTCCGAAAGAAGTTTTTATCATTGTCATAATAAGCAATAGACACAGCATCATTGTTCTTCGGTT